GCTTTTTAAGATTGAAACTGGATCATTAATTTGAGATCTCTCTTCCTTTCTGATAGAAACATTTAAAACTATCAATTTTCCTTTAAACATTACTCCAGCTGCATCCCATAAATTTTGATATTTTAAGATTTCATTGTTGTTTAGTTCAACATATTTTCCAATTTACCTTGTCAAAATTCCTTTCTTTATAAAGGCTGAATAATACTCCATACTTACTAACTCATGTAAATCTGACCTATAGGTTATTTAGAAGTGTGTTGCTTGGGGCACTTGGGTGGCTCAGGTGGTTGGGCATCTGCCTTTGGCTCAGGTCATGATCTCGGGGTCCTGGGATCAAGCCCCACATCGGGCTCCCTGCTCAGCGGGGAGCCTGCTTCTCCTTCTCCTCCCCACTTGTGCTCTTTCTCTGCTATCTCTGTCTTTCTCTCTCAAATAAATAAATAAATAAAATATTTTAAAAAAAAAGTGTGTTGCTTAATTTCCAAGTATTTGGGTACCTTCTAGATATATTATTATTTAAAGTTTGGATAAAAAAGCAAGAACCAACATTATGCTCCTATAAGAGAAGCACTTTATGTATTTTTTTTAAGAGAAACACTTTAAATGTAAACACACAAATGCATTTAAAATATATATAACCGGGTGCGCCTGGGTGGCTTAGTCATTGGGCGTCTGCCTTCAGCTCTGGTCATGATCCCAGGGTCCTGGGATCGAGCCCCACATCAGGCTCCCTGCTCTGCAGGAAGCCTGCTTCTCCCTCTCCCACTCTCCCTGCTTATGTTCCCTCTCTCGCTGTGTCTCTGTCAAATAAATAAAATCTTTAAAAAAAATAATAAAAAATAAAAAAATAAAAAATATATATATAACATATAAAACACTGCATAAGACAGCTGGTAGGGTTATATTAATATTAGACAACGTAGACTTCAAGAAAATAGCTATTACCAGAGATAAGGAGAAATATTTTTAATGAGTCAATTCATCAAAAATTTTAACATTAAATCTTGTTATAGCCAGAAAGCATACTCTGTATAATTTTAATACTGTAGAATTTACTGAGCCTTGTCTTATAGCCCTGCATGTATTGTGTGCCTTGGCAAATGTTTCGTGTTCACTTGAAAAAAATGTGTCTTTGGCTGTTGATAATGTTTAGGTCAAGTTGATAATGTTTAATTCTTCCATATCCTTATTGATTTTTTGATAGTTTTCTTAATGTTGTTTTATTTATTACTGAGAGGAGGTATTAAAATTTCCAAGAGGGTGCCTGGGTGGCTCAGTTGGTTAAGCGACTGCCTTCGGCTCAGGTCATGATCCTGGAGTCCCTGGATCGAGTCCCTCATCAGGCTCCCTGCTCAACGGGGAGTCTGCTTCTCCCTCTGACCCTCTTCCCTCTCATGCTCTCTCTCATTCTCTCTCTCAAATAAATAAATAAAATCTTAAAAAAAAAAATAAAAAAGAAATAAATAAAATTGCCAAGAATTACTGTGAATTTGTTAATTTCTCCTTTTAAAAAGTTCTGTCCATTTTTGCTTCATATAGTTTGAAGCTCTGTTATTATGTACATGCATATTTAGGATTGTATGTCATTATTAAACATCCCCTTTTATCTCTATAACAGTCTTTTTGTTTTTTAAAGTCCACTTTGTTATTAAATAAAAAAATTCAACTGAGTAAATGTTAAAGATCTAGTTGGCTTTATTTACCAATTCACAAATTGGGCAGCATCCCATCTAGAAAGTAGAGAGGAGCTCCGAAGGGCTACAGAAAGAAAAAGGTTTTTAAAGGTAAAGAAGGAGCGGAAAAAAGGAAATTATTAGCAAAGAATCCATTGTTTTAGGCAAGGTTGCCCTCCTAAGGGGAACTGAAGGGGCCTCTCAATAAAGTCCCTAGTGCTGACCAGGAAATTCTCATGTTGACTGGTTAAAGGTTACATTTCTGGGGGGTTAAAACTGCAGTTATGTTAGGTATTAAGTTTTGTTTTACTGACTTGGGGCCTTAATCTAAGTGATGCCATTTTAGGCCTGTGGTTTTGTTTTTAACAATATTAATATAGCTCTATCAGTTTTCTCATGTGGCATTTGTATAATATCTCTTTTTATTTTAATATATTTGTATCTTTATATTTAAAGTGCTTCTCTTATAAACAGTATATGGTTGGGTCTTGCTTTTTCATACAAATTGACAGTCTTTGTCTTTTAATTGGACTCCATTTACATTTAATGTAATTATTGATATAGTTGGGTTTAAATATGCCATCCTAGTATTTGTTTTCTTACTGTCCTTTTTGGTTTTAGTTCCTCTGTGCTTCCTTTCCTGCCTTCTTTTGGGTGATTGGAATATTTTTAGCTATACCTATTTGTTTTATTTCAAATAAAAATACTACTTCTTCATACAGTTTCACTATGCAAATAATATGTTAATTAAACTTATATTCAAGTTAGGGTATGCCAAAAGAGTTAAGAGAGGGTATATAAAGAGAGTGGAACATTCTGGTGGCAGAAATCAACTTTCTGTACCAGAATTCTGTTTGGGGTTGACCCTGCTCATCTTTTCTTTTCCCATCACAAAATGGAACCATGACCTAGTAGACATTAAGCTAACATGATAGTCATAACATCTCATTTGCCTCCACCATTTAGCAGAGAAGGAAAACCAAACAAGAAACAAGAGATCTGCACTAGCTATTGAGTGTTTCATTTTTCATCACACACTTAAATCATTGTAATCTATGTAACTGGGTTGCTGCCTATATACTGTCACACTCTTCTGTCACTTCCTTCTTCCACACTGTAAGGATCTTATGAGCCACCCTGAAAAATATGAAGTAGTTTCCTTCTAATTAAATTTATGTCAGATAAGTATCATTTTTGTATTATCAATCAAACAATTAATTCACAAGCAGCTTGGTGCTGCCCTTAGAAGCTTGCAATTTAGTTAAGAAGACATTTATATAATTTTATGATGTATTTTTCTATACTGTATTTATTATATAAATGTATCATATTTATATACTAAAAAAGACAAAGGAGTGCAAGGCTGTGTGTGACTGTTACATATAATAAATAAATGAGGTAAGGTGTTTTTGTTAGAAAAACAGCTGCCTAAACAGCTGCCTATGGAGATTTTTGATCATTTATAGTGAGAGAAACTCTTTCTTCTTTTTCCCTGTCTTCCTCTTCTCTATATAGATAGATATAGATAAGTATCACATGATTATTTGGAGATTAAAATTTCATTTTGATTTGGCTTTCCTGGGTGGAAAACATTTACTTCATTTTACACTTTTGAGCATGAATTGTCTCTTTCTAGGTATAATCAGTTTCTACTCTTCAGCATACAGATATTATGAATAATATTCAGTGCAGGAAGAGCTCTAAAAATAATTGTGAAGGTAGGGTTTTGTTATAGTCTTACATGGAACACCGGCAGGAGATAAGAACAAAGGCACATCATAGGAAAGTTAGTAGTAGGCAGAGCATTTAATCTCATCTGCCTCCACCAAAAAGCTTGCATTTAGCAGAGAAGGAAAAACAAACAAGAAACAGGAGATCTGCACTAGGTATTGAGTGTTGCATTTCTCATCACTGTTAGTCACATTTGAATGGAACCATTTACGGTCTTTTTGGTGTATAATTAAGCCTTTTTTTTTTTTCTCCAAAAGGAAAATCTTGAATTTTATGTTTAAAAACACAATGAGATGTTTTTGACATTCTGCCGTTCATTTTGGAAATCACCATCTTAAAATCCATTGCCTTTCAGTAAGTTGATAAAGGATGTACAATACACGTCATTTTTACACAAAATAGTACCTTAGATAGTCTCCAGTGTGTATAATATATACACACCTTTTAGCATCTGTTTCTACTTGGCAGGTTGCAGCATTAGGCTGAATGTTGTGATGAACAACTGAATGGGGATGAAATGCTAAGCAGTCTTACAATGGATTTTTATTAGAAAAAGTAAGCTCTTCAGAGCTTCTTATTGATACTTTTCCATAAAGATGGTAAGCCAACATATTTGTACATAATTAAGGTGACATACTCTTTAAATGTTTAAGTTCTTCCAGAAATGGGGATGGACTTGACTAACCAACTGATGATTCTCCTCTTGAGCTGGGATTGTATATTTTTTGTACAGGGAAATCTGTTTTTACAAATGTATTACTAACTATTCTTACAAATATATGTATACAGGGTTGTTACAATTAAGAATTGCTGGGATCAGGGGCGCCTGGGTGGCTCAGTCGTTAAGAATTGCTGGGATCATATCTTCAGTATTTACTTATTATTTGACTAAATTTCATTCTATTCAGCTCAGCCCAGAGAAGCAGATTTAATAGGTTTGTTTTCTTATTCTGCTACTACTGTACTTGGGTTTTTGGTCTAGTGGTCATAAAATATTCCCAAGAAATATGTTCACTTAGAATTCCCAAACCAAAATAATAAAATCACTTAAAAAAACTTTTAATACACAAAATTCAGATTCTAGGCTGACATCCTTTGGCTGTGTGATAAAAATTAAATGAACAAATACCAAACAAAGCAAAGTTGGTCAAAGCTGTGACTTATGAGGAATGTCAGCCAATGGTACACACTCTAAATATTCTTTTTCCTTCTCTTGGCCTGAAAATACTTCAGGACAGAAGCTATCATGCCCAACTTTCATTTAAAAATGTTTAGTTTTCGGGGTGCCTGGGTGGCTCAGTCATTAAGCGTCTGCCTTTGGCTCAAGTCATGATCTCAGGGTCCTGGGGTCGAGCCCCACGTCAGGCTCCCTGCTTCTCCCTCTCCCACTCCCCCTGCTTGTGTTCCCTCTCTCTCTCTGTCTCTCTCTGTCAAATAAATAAATAAATCTTTTAAAAAATAAATAAATAAAAATAAAAATGTTTAGTTTTCATGTCTTTTCTCAGGTTGTAAACCTTTTGGACCAGTTTTTGCCTATTTGATAAATAATACACTGTATAATCCATATTGACTAATTAATCATTTGTAACTTTCCAGGTACTGATTAAGATGTATGTGATTTGGAGGAATTCTGTTTCCTGTCTAAGGATAAGAAAGGTGCCACATAGATTCCAAAGTGGTAATCACCCAGTGGTCCCTCTGGGATCAAGGATTTTAACGGACCCAGCCAAAGTTTTTGAACATAACATGTGGTGAGTTATCTTCGACGTCTAATGTTATATATGTATCTGAAACATTAACAGTGGTATTATTTTCATTTAGAGCCAAGAAAGGATTTTTAAAGTTGATCAGTGTTGTTGGGGTCCAAAAGACAGGGTAACTGATCCTAACTTAAATGTTGCCAATTCTGAATTTCTTTGCAAATGAAATTGATAAAATGACTCTTCCCAAGTGCTTTCCTCAGCTTTGGGGTTCTTGCAGACCCTCCCTGCTCACCTCTAGTCCTGACTTGCCAGCATATTTTGGGAAGGGAGGCTCTTTTCTAGATAGAGCCCTCCTCCTGCCCTGCAGGCCCTTCCACCTTTTACAAGTACTTGTCCATGAGCAAATGTGTATTCAGTACTTGCTGCTTACTGAGACCAAGGAAAATACACTGGTATGACCCTAGTCTATGCTTTCAGGAAATCTGTCCTCTATTTGGAAAGATAGATATTTATAGGAAAAGTTGATAATTAGCAATGCATGGCAGCAAATTGTAAGGGTGCAATGTGTTCTTATAAGGCATATACAACTGTATGTCTTATAAGAACAACTCAACAGGGGCGCCTGGGTGGCTCAGTCATTAAGCATCTGCGTTCGGCTCAGGTCATGATCCCGGGGTCCTCGGATCGAGCTCCGCATCAGGCTATCTGCTCTGTGGGAAGCCTGCTTCTCCCTCTCCTACTCTCCCTGCTGGTGTTCCCTCTCTCCCTGTGTATCTCTCTGTCAAATAAGTAAAATCTTAAAAAAAAAAAAAAAGAACAACTCAACAGTACAAAACCACTTCTGTTTTGACATAGGAAGATTTCTTTTTTTTCTTTTTTCAGTTTCCACTTTTTTGACATATAATTGATATATAAAGGAAAATTTCTTTAGGTGGAGAAATTGAGATCAGGATTATTTATTCTGTCTTCAGTATATAGTACAGTGCCTGACACATACATATTTGTGAAGTAATGACTTGGATAGTTAAGGCTGGAGAAAGGGCATTCTTGGTGGGTAGAAAGTCATAAAACACAGAGATAAAGAAGTATAAGGCATATGCAGAGGACCATGAACAGGATAGTTTACCTAAAATAAAGACTTTCCTAGGAGATTTATAAATGATAAAGTTGGAATCATATAAATCAGGTATGGGGGTGGGGACAAGATAGTGTGAATTCCTGAATTCGCAGCTAAAGTGGAAGGCATTATAGAGCCACTGAAGAGAAATGACATTAATACATGGGCTATTAAGTACTGTGTATGTATTTGGTGACAGTGTACTAACTAGACAGATCAGCAGGTAGAACTAGAAGCAGGAAAGTGCCAATGAGAGAGATTTTGAAGGATGAATAAATAGAACTTGATGCTTTTGTAGAAAGGAAAAGGAAACATTTGGCTATGAAGTTTTGATCCTAGATGACTAATGGAAACTTAGTAATTAGTTCCACATTATACAATATGTGGCCACTAGCCAGATGTGGTTCTTGAGCACTTGAAACCTGATTAGTCTGAATTGAGATGTGCTGTAACATTTTGAAGACTTAGTACAGGCTCTCTCAGCCTTCGCGCCATCTTCTTGGAAACCTCTGCACCACCATTAGAGCCAAGTGGAGAAAGAAGCAAGTGTGTAGGCGGAAGCATAAGAGAAGAAAGATGAGGCAGAGGTCCAAGTAGACCACTAGCTTGTGCACCCATTGAAGCCACAGCAACAGAAATAAGGAAAGGCAGAGGCCAGGGATGCTGGTACCAATTGTTGAACTGCATATCTACTTTCTAGAACATCCATCACCATCTGATCTCAAGGACCCCTTTGAGAGACCCACCTTGCTCATACCAAAACATTCCCTTTTGGTCTTTTGCCCTGGACCTGTGACTTTCAAGACTAATTCTGTTTTCATTTGTGTGAATATAACACATGTACAATAAATCATCTCTTCTGTCTTAGCTGAAAAAAAAAAAGAGAGTACAAAAAGAAAAGGTAAAATATATCATTAACAATTTTTATACTGAACTGCATGTTGATATTATTTTGGACATATTGAATTAAAATATATTATTAAAATTTCATTTCTTTTAGTTTTTTTAAACATGGATACTAGAAGATTTTAAATTACATCTGTGGCTGACATTATACTTTCTCGGACAGTTGCCGAATTAAACTACTTGGCCTGCTGCCATCACCAATATGGACAGTTGCAGTAGGCTGTGAGATCACTGCCAAGCAACTAAACCTCTACAGGAACTTCTGGTCCTAGACAAGCTATTTGTTTACCAATTTTTTATTCTTCATTAGAGTCTAGTGAGTTAGCAGTCTGAGTTCTCTTTTTCTGTCTGCTACCACCTACTCTTTTGTTTAAGGTTCCTGCCTACCCATTTAAGTTCTGTTTTGTCATAGGCTCTCAGGGAAGCAAGAGTCCTCTGGGTCAATGCCCCTCAAGCACTGTGGGCTAGCTTTGGGATGCTGTACAAGAATCCCCTGGGAAGTTACTATTTCACTAGGTCTAGAGGTATGGCCCAGGAATTTGTAATTTGAAAAAGCTCTTTTAGTAATTCTGTTGAGCCGCCAGGTTTAGGACCCTTTGGTGGTTCTCAAACTTTCCTTTAGCAGTAGAATTTTTTTCCAAGTGAAGTCCTAACATTAAATATTGGAATCCCAATATTTAAAAGGTAAAAACAAACCTCATCTTAATGAAGCAGGTATAGAGGCCTGGGGCATTAACAGCTCCGCCTCCCATTTCTCCCCTCACCCCCTCACTGTAGCAGCCTCATGGATTTTTAGGGTTCTGTTGATCAAAGTTTGAAAAACCTTGTTCTAGTCTCAATAGCTATCCTCCTCCACAGCATACCCCCTGAAAGGGTATACAGCCTGTGCCCGGATGCTTGTAGTGGACTCTCTCCAGAGGCGAATTCATACTGTAATTATAAAAATAATTTCCTCCAAACAAAGAGGAAAGTATTTGCCTCCTGTCATCTCCTTATGCACTGTTGTTTTGTTGTTTTTTGTTTTTGTTTTTTGGGGGTATTTTGGGTTTTGTTTGTTTGTTTGCTTTCTTTAAAAAGAAGTTTCGTAAGTTAAACTGAAAACCAGAAGACTGGTTGACTTTCCCCTTCCTTCAAGTCCAAAGTTCTATCCAAAAGTTCTGACTTCCTTATTTTCTCCTTTGTATTTAAGAAGAATGTTTCCTCTCTTGCTGAATTTTGATTTTTAAAAGATGTTTCTAGAAAACTACTGTACCTGTCAGTTTTCTCTCAGAGATGTAGAATTGTCTACAGTTTATTTTTCTGTTTAGCCTCTAGTTCAGTCAGTACTATTTCTATGTGAACCTCTTTTTAATAAAAATATTTTTGAGGAAAAAATAAAGGTATCCATTTTTTATTCAGTTTCTAATATCTTGAGAAAGAATTGCCCTCCAGATTCTGTATATTTGTGTTACTAGTATTTACATCTCCCTATAGTCTTACTTTTTAATAATTTAGTGAAGTGAATTTCACATAACATAAAAGTAACTGTTTTAAAGTGAACAGTTCAGTGGCATTAATTACATTCATCATTTTATGCACCTAGCACCTCTGTCTTGTTCCAAAATATTTCCATCAATCCCAAGTAAAGTCCCTTACCCATTAAGTGGTTTATCTTCTTCATACTCCCATTCCTCTAGCCCCTGGCAATCACCAGTCTGTGTGCTAGCTCCATGGATTCACCTCTTCTGGATATTTCATATAAAAGGGATCATACAATATGTGACCTTTTGTGTCTGGCTTCTCACACTTAGCATAATGTCTTGGAGGTTCATCCACATTGTAGCATGTGTCATTACTTCATTTCTTTTTATGACTGAATAATATCCTATTGTATGTATACACCACAACTGGTTTATCCATTCATCCACTGAAGGACATTGGGGCTATTTCCACCTTTGGCTCTTGTGAATAGAGCTGCTGTGAACATGCATGTACATGTACTTGTTTGAGTCCTTGTTTTCAGTTCTTTGAGGTATATACCTAGGAATGGAATTTCAGGGGTCATATGATAATTCTGTGTTAACTTTTTGAGGAATTGCCAAGCTCTTTTCCACAGTGATCAAAACATTTTACATTCAGCTTACAGTCTTTTAATTATACTTAGCAAAATTTTTAATCTGGGGGGGCACTGACATGAAACTATATTCAGAATGCTTTTGAGACATGGCCCAGAGATCTATTTTGAGCAAATTACAGTTATTTGGAAAAATCATTCCTTATTTCACACTGTTCCTGGTTTAAGTGTGTAGTAATTTTTCAGAAGATCCCTGAAATTTATAAGGAATAATAAACACTTATATAATTGTATGACTAAATCATCTAGGCCAGTGGCTTTCAAGCTTTTTAGCATGATCCACAGTAAGAAGTACAGTTTACATCATGGACCAGTATATGTACATATAACATATGCACATATATGAAACAGGAACAAAAGCTTCTTGTACAGTTTTACCATGTGAGACATTCACTAATTGTTTCCATTTGTTCTATTCTACTCCATTTCTGTTTCTTTCTCATTTTAAGTGTTGGTTAGATCTTTTTTTTTTAAAGATTTTATTTATTTATTTGAGATAGCGAGAGAGAGAGCACGAGCAGGGGAGAGAGGGAGAAGCAGGCTCCCTGCTGAGCAAGGAGCCCAGTGCGGGGCTCAATCTCAGGATCCCGGAATCATGAGCTAAGCTGAAGGCAGACACTTAACCAACTGAGCCACCTAGGTGCCCCTAAGTGTTGGTTAGATTAACAAAGCTGACTGCATGACTCACTAAAAGGATCGTGACCTTTAGTTTAAAAAATACTGAGCTAAACCATTCTCTGTAGATCCAAGATAGGACCTGTATGCTGCAACATGACCTCCTATTATATAACCAATTTAAATAATAGACTGTTTACAGAATTCCAATACAGTTTACCTATCAAGATATCTTTCTTATTATATGGTCTGAATTTTCCTTATATATGTATTATCTGATTCCTCTTACCTTGTTTC